TTAATAAATTAGATAATATTCAAAATATTAGTGACAAATTTTTAGCAACCTGGTTAGATGGAATACGATGTGTAAATTCTGTTGGCAAATATGCACAGTCACGTATACCAACATATAAAGTGGAACTCAAAATATTAACAAGATCACAGAACTTATTAGAGATGTTAAAAGAAGTAAGATAAATGTTTAAATCATTGTTGTACTGAAATATTATATATAACTTTATTTTAATTCATATTCAAATATTTATAAATATTTAATAAGTTTATAGATTATGTACAGTCAAAGGATCCTAAAGTATATGGGCTAACTCAAAACATAATCACAAATGAATATATGTTAGTATTCAAGGAAGAATTTGAATCTAAAAGGAATTATGAATATGGAGTATGTGCAGATTGCAAACAATATAATACTTCTGAAGCTTGGTGTCAGACATGTGACCCTCCGAAAGCTATACAGGGATGGACAAGTGGAAATAAAGAAATCGATGATTGTATTAAAGAATTCCAACTTAAAGCTACAAAATACGAAGATGTAATAGAATGGATTCCTTTTAATAAATTAGATAATATTCAAAATATTGGTGATAAATTTTTAGCAACCTGGTTAGATGGAATACGATACGTGAATTACACTAGAATTGGACGGACACAGTCACGTATGCCATCGTATAAAGTGATGCTTAAAGTATTAGATGATTCTCAAAATTCATTGGATTTTTTAATTTGTGTAAGTTAAAATTTTAGCTTATTATTTATATACTTGTTTAATTAGTATTAATATTTATAAGTAATATCTATAAGTTTAAGGATTTTATGCAATCAAAAGATAATAAACTTAAAGTATATGGGCTAACTCAAAACACTGCAACAAACGATTATATATTAATTTTTGACTTTGAAATGGATCTGACTAAAGGTGAATGTGTAAATTGCAACCGTTATAATACATCGCCAGCTTGGTGTCAGACATGTGACCCTCAGAAAACAATACAAGGATGGACGAGTAAAAATAATGATGTCGATGATTGTATTAAAGTATTCCAACTTAAAGCTACAGAATACGCAGATGTAATTGAATGGATTCCTTTTAATAGATTAGTTAACGTTCAAAAGATTGGTGAAGGGGGGTTCGGCACAGTGTTTTCAGCAACGTGGCTAGATGGTAAAAGAATAGTTTCAGGCGGACAATCACGCACATCACCGTATAAAGTTGCACTTAAGACATTACCCGGTTCACAAAAGAATTTTTTAAGAGAAGTAAGTTAAAATGATGATTTTTTATGATTTAATATAGACAAATTAATAACATAAATAATAACATAAATTTATTTATTCAATAAGTTTAAAAGTTATACAGAATTTAGATTAGTGGGTAGTAATCTTGAAGTGTATGGGCTAACTCAAAACACAACAAATAATGAATATTTGATGGTATTTCAATATGCAAATCAAGGAAGTCTTCACAAATTCCTAACATCAAATTTTAGAAAACTTAAATGGAAAAATAAATTAAAACAACTTGTTGATATATCAAGAAATTTATCAATAGTTCACAAAGCAAAATATGTTCATGGAGATCTTCATAGCGGTAACATATTACAACATCAAAATATTAATAATGGAGATTTAAGGTCTTACGTTGCAGATCTAGGATTATCCAGAAAGAAAGATGAATCAGATTTAGAAGACAGCATTTACGGTGTCTTACCTTATGTTGCACCTGAAGTCTTAAATAAACAACCATACACAATAGCAGCTGACATCTATAGTTTCGGTATTATTATGACAGAAATGTCTACAGGAAGACCACCTCATTACGATTTTGAGTATGATGAAGAGTTGGCCATTCAAATATGTAACGGATTACGTCCAGAATTTGCTAAAGGCACACCTGAATGTTATATTCAATTGGCCATTCAATGCATGAATGCTAATCCATCTAATAGGCCATCTGCATTTTATATTTATCAGAAATTGTTAAGGTGGTTTAATATAGTGGAACATAAAAATAAATCGACAATATTAAAAGTATTTCAGTCAGCAGATAAAATTATTCCAACATTATCAACCCAATTACCAATTTGTTTTAAGGATAAACTTACAAGTAAACTGCTCAACTTTAGAAACCTATCTGAGCCAATTGATTCATCGTTTATTCCACCTTTAGAAGAGTTAAAGATTTGTGGTAAATAATTCACTTATTATAATATGTTTCAATTTTAATTGATAAAATTTTTACATTTTAATTTTTTTTAGATTCTACAACACTCGATTTTTCAATTTCTAATGAATGTTAAATGATATTTCATGTGGGTATTCGTTAATTTTAATCTATTAACATATAATAATAGATTCCAACTAACGTACTTTGTGTCTGTATCGATATTAGATGGTCGGAGCACTAGAAGTTACATTTGATCTTTAATAAAGCTAATTCTAAATTTATGTATTAAACCATATTTAAAAATACACTATAGATTGTCTTAGCTATTGTCAATGAAAGTGAATGAATATAAAGACTTTAATTCGGATCAGGGGTGTTGTTCTTGAATGCTAATATTTTTGAGTACCTATTTGCGCGCGTAATAACACACATGGGCGTTGTTTCGAAACCCCATTTTTTGAAATTTGTTTTTTTGACTTAAAATAACGCACTCTCTTAAATATAACATATTATATATTTTGATCGAATTTTCAGGTTAAGTTCATTAATAGAAGTGTGGCTTCCTCTTGTAACCCAAATTTGCAAAATGATTCGAATTATTGCGCATGCGCGTCCCGAAATAATGCGCAGCGTCTCAAAATAACGCGCACCTCGCGTTATTACGCGTAAATATGGTATCAATTCTTTGACTAGACACCTTGTTATGTTATTTTGAAGAGGTTTTACTGTAGCGTTGATTTGTTGAGCACCAGAATTCGTAAAACGATGAACTTGCCCACTGGAATTATTTCGAGATCTGGAAGTCATCAATGCCTAACAGTTCTAACATGGGGGTGAGTCAGTAGAAACGCACCATATTTTTTCTAAGTAAATTTTTTGAAACTTTAAACAAGAATAATTCAACAACAACTTAATTAAATTTAATAAAATTTTTTTTAAACCAATTCAAAAAACTTGTAAAATTTATTTAAAAAAATTTTTACTAAATTTGGTTAAGTTTTTGCCGATTTATTTTTGTTTGAAGATTCAAAAAAATTTCATTAAAAAGAACATGGTGCGTTTCTACTGACTCACCCCCATATATCGATTAATATCTATATCAGATATATATCGATTACTATTACTATTGATAGTAATCGACAGGGGTGATGAGTATCGATATATATCTTACCAGTTAGTAATTGATATATATCTATATATAAAATTTGCTAATGAAGTATTAGATGTATTAAATCTTTTTGAAAATATGATCTATCACCGAGAAATTAATAAAGGAGAAATAATTTCTATATATTTGCTTGTGAATTCGTCGATATTAGTCTTTATAAATCTAGTAATACTATTGAAAGATTAGAATTAAAAACCAAAAATTTAAAAGATAAAATTAAAGGCTTAAAAAAAAATAAGTTTGCTACTAATGTTCTACTTTGCTTATTTTCAATAAAAGTTGCAAAAGCAAAAAAATCAAAAAAAAAACAAATCTCAAAAATTCGATCTGCCATTCGTAAAGCAAACCAAATTTGACCTGCCCAATTTCAACGTGCAGCAAACAAATTATTTAAAATTAATAATAAAGAATATAATGCTAAATTTGTTAAATTAGCTGCAGATATAAGTAATATAGAACAAATCTCTATATGTGCAACCGTGGAATATACTAAAGTCATATATCAATTCTTGACCGGAGAGATGCCACGGCATTGGGTAACTCCATCAACTTTATCATGATGGAATAATGAAATAGCGGCTGCATCCTTTAATCAAACTCGTCCTAAAGAAAAAGCTTCTCGATTTTTCAGCTATAGTATTATAGCTGATAAAAGTACACAGGGAGAAATGAAAGTGTTAATAATTTGTTTTTCATATTGGGACGTTGTTAAAAATAAGCCAATCATTACTGTAGCAAAATTAACTAATATAATGCAATGTAATACCGAAACGGTTTTAAATATGGTATTCGAAACATGTAGACAAAAAAAAATTGACCCTCAAAAATGTCATTTTTGGCTAATGAATAATATAGCCTATATGTCCTCCGAAAATAATGGTACAATCGCTAAATTCAATTCATTAACAATGTCCAAATCATTTCGAATTCCATGCAAATTACATGCAACCTATATTGCTTTAATTAAATTTGAAGATACCACATTTGGAAAATTGGATGCTATTAAAGGACTATTATTAAAGGAATATCCATTTAATTTACTTAACTTGGCTTTTCATCTTCATGATGGATACGGTCTTTCAGATAAAGATAGCCACTAAATCTAAAATCTGAAATTTTAAAAAAGCTTTATAAGACATTATTTGATGTTGAATTAAGTAAATACCAACAGCCTATTCATCAATGTTGGTTATACAAGCTTAAGGCTGCAAGGCAATATCTTGAAAGGCGTGAAATGCATGTTTGTTTTGCTTAATTCTTTATTGAGCAACTTAAAAATACAAAAAATGTTCCAAAAACATACTTACATAAATGGCGAATATTCTTTAAGTGGCTTATGGATAAACAACTTAATACGATGCATCGTTAAGTTTGGTGCAAAGTTTTACAAACCTGTTTGCAGTTTTCTAAATGAATATGACCCAACTCTACAAATTTATCAGCAAAATAATATAAGTACCCTTCCGTCAGGCCATCGTGCTTATGAAATGCCCGATAAAATATTATTATGGGTTTAAGAGCTTTAAAATTATCTAGAAAATATTTATATATTATTTGAAGATGAGTTAGTTAATGCTGAGCATGAGTTAGACGCAATAGATTTTGAAAATTTTTGTGAATCCTTACATAATGGAATAGAAAATACATTGGGTGGGTTTGTTAAATGGATGAAGACCTGGATTCATTTACCTTAAGTATTTGTCGATTAGGAGGTGAAAATGGATCAGACTTCGCTTGCGCTTTTTTAAAAGTATTTTTAAACAAAGATTCGTCAAAAACTCCAACTTTTAAAGAGATCACCTATATTAGACTTCTAAAAAAAGATTTATCTAACAGTTGTTCAGCCACATTTGGGCTCTTGGAAGAATTGTCACAGTATGATTTTCTTGAGGAGTTCAAAAATTTTGCAAATTCTGATAATACAGAATTAGCAAAATTTCCTCTAATATACGAATTCACTAAATTTCGCATATGGAGTATCATTGTGCATCAACAAAAGCTCGAAAGACTATTTAATTGTTATGACATAAAAGTCTATCCAAACATGGATACTCAATTACAAGAGTCACGTATCCAGCTTGCTTGCTCAGATAGTAGGGTTCAAGATATTTCTCAAGAAATATTGTGAAATATTCGAAAAGAAGCAAGAAATTCCAAAATTAGTGAGAAATCAGAAAACAAAATTTCCAAAGAAGAAAACGTATATGAAATTCTTAACAGTTTTCTTATCTGGAAGTGCAAAAAATAATGATCATATTTAACAATAATTTTAGTAAAATAAAAAAAGTAAAAAATGCCTTAATAATTAGTAAGCAAAAGACTAAAGAAAAAATCAGTTTTAAATTAAAATTATCATTATCTTTTTTGTATAACACAAAATTATCACATGATTTTTGTAAAATAACTTCAATTGCTAATTGAAGACGTTTATGATTAGTAAAATAAAATTCTAGCATTGTCACATTATAAAGACACTTTTCAATGAATATTTTGTCTTTATAGAATTAAAAAATATTAAATATTACTGAAGGAATTAAAAGTGTAGTAAAGTCAATTTTTTCATAGTAATTTAATATAGCATGCAGATCATGGAATTTTACTATCCCTTAAACCGTCCATTTTAGCAGGCAAATATGCCTGTTAAAATTTTTAAGAAGTTTTTAAAAATTAGTTCTGATTTATTTTTATCAAAAATTAAGTTATTTTAAAATTTTTTTTTTTAAATATCAACTATGATTATAGATTATATTTTAATAATTTTAATTTTTATATTTTATAAAAAAAAAATTTAAGTTGACTATAAACTAAAAAAATTTAAAATTTTCAAAAATTTCTGATTTTTAAAGATTTTATTTTCAATCATAGACAAACTTTTAAAAATTCTAAGAATATGTACCCAATAATTTTGATACAAATTATAGATTAAGTTATCATAAACAACTTTTATTATAAAAGTTTTTATAATTTTATAATTAAAATTTTAACTTCTATTAATAGAGAAAACTTTTTTCCTTCTTAAATACATATAAAAATTTCAAAATTTTTAAAAATTTTTGAAAAAATTTTATAGTAAAATTAAAGAATTGGCTATATTTAAACTAATTTTTCATTTATATTTAAATA